TGTAACTTTACAGTGGTCTTTATTTAGAGATTATGCATATGGTTTATAGGTGTCAAGTTGACAAAGGGTGGACTATGATAGTTAAGGTTCTATGTCAACTTGACTGGACTTGGATTTTCAGTGGTTTAGCAGTTGATGGCTAACTCTATGATGATTGGCTATAAGCAGCAAATTAATTGAATGGATGTTTCCTTGGGTATGTGGCCTGCTTCCAATATAATGGACATGCAGGAAGGACTCTCTCTTTTCTGCTGGGGACCTGGGATTCTAAAATTGGGAGCCATTTCCTTGATATAAACTTCTCTTTACACACACACACACACACACATATATATACATATATATTTGTTATTGTTAATTGCAGTCGAGTCAGTTCCAACCCATAGTGACCCTGCATAGGGTTTCTGAGGCTGTAAATCTTTATGAGAGCAGAAAACTCATCTTTCTCCCACGGAACTGATGGCAGTTTCGAACTGCTGACTTTGAGATTAGCAGCCTGATTTATAACCACTACCAGCGCACCATGTTGTTGTTGTTACGTGCCTTCAAGTCGGTTCACCAGTGCGTCATATATATATATACAGCGCCATGTATATATACATATACCCATGGAGTAGTCCTGGTGTGGTGCTGTGGGCTAATGCGTCAGACTGCAAAGTCATTTGAACAGCAAGATTGGGGTTCAAGCTCACCAGCTGCTCCTTGGAAACTTTATACAGGGTCACTATGGGTCAGAATCGACTCGGCAGCACTTAACAACAACAACATATGTAAATGTCATTGGTTTTGCTTCCCTAGATAACCCAGCCTAAGACAGTTGACTCTGGAAGAAAGTCCTTGTCTCTTCATCACAAAACAGAGGGTAATTACATCAGATCACAGAATGAAGGACAACCTCGTCATACTGGGAATAATGGCCTAGCCACATTGACAGATTTTAGGGAGGACACAATTTGATCCATGACATATGCTTTTCTGGTTTACTGAACTCTGACCCTCCTTTGCAGAAAGTCCATTTATTAAAATCTCTTAGATTATCCTTTTCAGGATGCCATCTGTTTCCTGAGGGGACCCCGACCGATACAGTAATTGGTACCAGAAGTAGCCCCAGAAAACAGACTCTCAAAATTGGATTGCTCATATATTTGATGGGCACAGGGATAAAAATCCTTGCCAGGGGGAAACAGAACACTTGGCATCTGTGTCCTGAAATGGCATCCCTATCACTCAAATCATCACCCACGGTAGTAACATGGGATGTAGTGTAACTAGAGGGGCAATAGTTTAGAGATCACGTGACTGAGATCGTTGCTATAGCAAAAATGATGTTTACAAAAATTATGGAATGGATTTGCCACTTCTGAAGGCTCTAGAAAAGTGTACACAAAGGAGAATAACAATTTAAGTATTGAGTGTGGTGTTGATGCCCTCCAGAGCCAAAGACCACCAAGAACACATCTGGAGTTAAACAAGTTGGGATTATTACTTGTTGTGACAAGGGAGAATATTCACATGGGAAAGCACGGAGTGACTTGTGAGAAGATATTAGAAAAGGCTTATAGGATTTGGGCTGTGTAGGTAGTTATGTTGAGGGCTTAAGAAAGTGAGACTTTCTGGGGTGGACCATATTCATGCTTTGTCTGTGCTCACACATGACCTTGGGGTGATCCTATTTTTTGTCTTGATCACCTATGGTCACAGAGTAATCTTGTCTTTCTGTGAAATTATGTTCAATATGAGATCACCAAGGCCTAATTGGAAGTGCCAAGACAGCTCATAGCAACAGCCAAGAGAGCTGAAAGTAGCTCTCTCCCACCCACCCTTCTCTCTGGTGGAAGACAAGGACGCCTCTAGACAGTTTCGAGGAGTCCCTTACCTCTCCTAGCTTTAGGACCTATCAGGCTGAGGAGCGTGGCAGAGAACAAAGGAAACACGAAATGGATGGTAGAAGGTGGAACATATGGCTATCAACTTGGGTCTCATAAAAGGTACAGGAATGGAGAATGTCGCAGCTCTATTTTCTGTTGATAATTTTCCCTAACAAAGCACTTTCTGGTAGCTAGTGCTTCAATTTTGATTCCAAGAAGTAATATGATTTAATTGGATGAGAGAAAAAGAGGAAGACCCCTAATGAGATGGGTTGGCAATGGCAGCAGCAAAGGGATCAAGCGTAGCAACAATTGTGAGGTTGGCACAGGACCAGACAGTGCTTTGGTCTTTGTGCATAAGATCGCTATGAGATGGTGCCAACTCCATGGAGCCTGAAACAACAACAGCATGAAAATATGGAAATGAATGAGACTGTTTCTCTCGCATTGGGAACACAAGATGTTTTTTGTTTTTTTACCACAGCAAAAGGGTTGGACTGTTGGTTGCTTTCCCCTCCAATTGCCCTTCCAAAGGGGTTCTCCGGCTGTGGTAAGTTGCAATATCGTATCAGCCTTGCCCTCTTACAGTTACCAGTCTACTTTTCCACTCAAGGCCCCAGCTCTTGCCAGGTGGCTTACCTCTGTTGTTGTTGTTGTTAAGTACTGTGGAGTTGGTTCCTACTCATAGTGACCCTGCATAGGGTTTCCGAGGCTGTAAATCTTTACCGGAGCAGAACGCCTCATCTTACCTCTCTTAGTAGGATATAAAACAACTTGCTTACATCTGCTCTTGAACCCAGGGGGTATTGTGTGCCAGCTGGTTCCCCCTTGTGTGTTCCTTTCGTTTTGTGATTTGTTAGCATTTTTCTTTTTATTCCTGAATAGAGCAGTCCATTGTATGATTATCCATTCACCCTACTGAAGGATATCTTGGTTGCTTCCAAGTTTTGCCAATTATGATGAAAGTAGCTCCAAACCAGCATGTGTTTATATGCTTCCCTCTTGGGCAATACCTAGGAGAGTGAGTGAATGATAAGCCCATGTTTAGCTTTGGTAAGAAACTACCAGACTGTCTTCCAAAGTGGTTGTACCATTTTACATCCCCACTAACAATAAATGGCATGCCTTGTCATTTACCTCAGCTGTACCTTTGTAAATAAGTTTCATTGTTGCACCATTGAGTCAACTCGACTCATAACATTCCTGTATGTAGGACAGAGCAGAACTGGCCCATGGGGTTTCTTAGGCTATAATCTTTATGGAAGAGCTCTGGTAGCGTGGTTACGAATTAGGCTGTTAACCTCGCAGTCAGCAGTTTGAAACTACCAGCTGTTCTGTGGGAGAAAGATGAGGCTTTCTGCTCCCATAAAGATTTGCAGCCTCGGAAACCCTGTGCAGGGTCGTTATGAGTCAGAACCGACTCCATGGTACTTAACAACAACAATCTTTATGGAGTCCTGGTGTGGTGCTGTAGGATAAGCACTGGACCACAAGGTTGATTTGAACTGCAATGTCGGCGGTTCAAACTCACCAGCCACTCCTCAGAAACCCTACACGAGGTCACTATGAGTTAGAACTGACTTGGACCTCAACGGCTCCAAAATAATCATTTTGACGTTCGGTTGCCTAACTCAAGTTGTTATTGTGGGTTATGTGCCGTAGAGTCGGTTCTGACTCATAGTGACCCCCGCACATGGTTTCCGAGGCTGTAAATCTTTACGGGAACAGAAACAGCCTCATCGTTCTCCCACCAAACAGCTGGTAGTGTCGAACTGCTGACTGTGAGGTTCGCAGCCCGATTCGTTAACCACTACGCTGCCAGAGCTCCTTCTGTGTCAGAGTACCAGCTATTAACATTAACACTGAAGGACCGAAGATTAAAGCAATCTGTGTTGGAAGAAGCACAGCCCGAGTGCTCCTTAGAAGCCAAGATGGCCAGACTTGGGTCTCTCATACTTCAGACGTGTTCTCAGGAGGGACCAGTCCCTGGAGAAGGACCTCATGCTTGGTAAAGTGGAGTCAGGGGCAAAGAGGAAGACCCCCCAGCGAGATGGGTGGGCACAGCGGCTCCAGCAGAGCAGAGCAGGGCGGGGCGCTGTTTCCTTATGGTGCGAGGGGTCACTGTGAGTTGGCACCTGACCACCACCCCTTGGGAAGGAGCTGCCAGGTGGCCATTTGTACCAGCAGGACGCAGAAGGCTTTTCTAAGAGGAAGGGACTATCAATTCTGCGGTAGCTCAACAAAATGAGTTGCCCACTAAAGTGTTTATGGAGATCCCAAACACCTTGACAAGAATCGGGAAGGGCTGCCGTGGGCACCGGGAGGAACGAGGCTGGAGGGGGTCGGAGAGCTTTTCTGTGAAGTGGAGAGAGGATCGGGTGGCGGCCTCGGGGTTTTTCCCTTCGGATCACCTCCCACGCCTTCTCCCTTGATGCGAGCCCCGCAGCGCACCCGCTCTCTGGCGCCTGTGCTGGGGGTGGGCGCTGGGGACCCCTCAATGCTCAACACCTGCGATGGTCGACCCGACTGCCGGCTGCGGACCCCCCGCTCCAGGGGAGGTCCCGTATCCGCCGGGTCCGGACCCTCCACGCCGGCCTCTTCCTGCCCCTCTGCTGGCTGGCTTCCCCAGTGGACATGCGGTTCGCCCCGCTGGCCACCTCCGACCGGCTCCCGCTGGCTTGTTGTGCCTGCGAGCCGTCATTCCTCAGGGGAGCCGATCCCCTCTGAGGGGACATTCACCGCTTTCGTCTGGTTCTCAGACCCGAAGGGAGAGGCAGGTGGCTCCAATGGAGCGCCCTGGCCCAGGTATGCGTACCCGGACATGTTGGGAGCCATTTGCTTGGGTCGCCAAAAGCGAGCCAGTACGCAGGCGCGCCCCAAGTCCGGCGGGTTAAGAGGGGGCTGCACGTGTCTGACGGAGAGCTGGGAAGGGCGGGATCCAGCGTTGTGCGCACGCGCACTGCGGGAGGGCTGGGCGCGTGCGCAGTGAGAACGGGGGCGGAGCCGCCGTCAGCTGACTCCGGCGGCCGTTCTCGCGGTGACAACTGTCGGCCTCGCAGGGTCCTACGGGTGTAAGAGCTAACCGGCGGGTTTACTGTAGGGTCCGAGAGACGTGGGACTGCCTGTAGCGCCATGGCGACCACCGTCAGCACGCAGCGCGGCCCGGTGAGGTCTCCCGGTGGGGCGGCGACCTGCGGCGTCTGGGCTTGGGCGGGGGTGGCGGGGCGCGGGCTTTTTTCCGCCGTGGCGGAGGCGATGCGGCCAGGACCTCACCTTCCCGGGACGCTGGACTCGCCGGCCCGAGCGGCGGGGTCCGCACAGCAGAGCCTCGCGTGTCCGCCCTTCCCCTGCGGGGCGCTGCAGGCCGGGAAACGGCTCTTCCTATGGAGGAGGAGGTGCTCCGCCTGCGTGCCCCCTCCCCCGCACAGCCCTCGGGGCTCCGGTTTAGGGCCCGTCTGAGGCCTCAGTTTCCACGTTTGCAAACAAACGAGAGGCAGGGAGCTGGTCCCTGTGAGGGGCGGCATCCCGTCTCCATGGTGCTGCAGTGACGTCGCAGGAGGGCTCGCGCACCGTGCACCCCACCCGGGCAGCGTGGACGGCCGCTCCGCAGGGTGTGAGCCTGACGTTGCAAGCCAACAGCGGAACACGGTGTCCACTAGGTCAGCGTGCTGGGGGTTTTGAGGTCGCACCGTTAGCACCCTTGCACCCAGAGCCCAAACTCGAAGCTTCCGCTGAGCGCCCGCTCACCTTGGATCGGGGGGCCTCGCCAGGCTGCGGTGAGAACATTCCAGGTTCAATAGAGGGGGGTGTGGATTGCCTCTGCTTGCCAGTTTCCATCTCGCTCTCTTCCCCCCGGGACCGTGAGTTGCAATGCGGACTGCTGGGAGATTTCTCATTTCTCCCAAGTAGTCTCTGAGGGTAGCAGGGGAACCATGGCTGGTACGCCAAGACTCCCAGATGGTGCCCAGTGGTTGAGCAGAGGTTCCGGGCCCCACTCCTGGGACAGGGTCACAACTGCAGGGGACAGTTTTGGAGCCCAGCGCAGGACCTGGCATACAGTGGGCACTCAATACAAGTGAACTCTGCCTGTCACAGGAAGCATGGTGCCTCCATACGAGAAACCCTGGACTGCGAATCACAAGGTCTGCAGTTGGAGCCCACCAGCCCTTCTGCAGGGGAAAGATGAGGCTTTCTGCTCTAGTAAAGATGTGAAGTCTCGGAAACCCCGTCCAGGGTCGTTGTGAGTCGGAACCGACTGGCCAGCACCTCACAACAACGTACCTGTCACTGAGGCGACTGGAAACAGCCCTTGAGTTCTGTGGGGGCACAAAGCTGAGCTGAGGTGTGGGGGGAGCTTCTGCGACATGGAGGACATGTGGCTTCCAAGGTCTGACCTTTGTGTCTGACCTCTTCCCAGTGCTTCTGGTACTGCTGTTTTGTTTACCACACCTGGGTAGAAGGGCGTCTTTGGGTCGGTGTGCAGACTCCTAGCACATCACGTATGTCGGGCAGAGCACATGTAGATGAGCACCTGCGAACACAGGAACAGTAGGTGTGCATGAGAGCTGCTGCGTGGCTATCTCAGGGCCGGGGGCTCGGAACCTCGCTGGCATGCGTCTCCCAGGACACAGTGAACAAACCTAGACATCCAGGTCCTCCAGTGTAGCACAGGGACACGGAACAGCCAGCAAGTGACCACCGGCTGGGGAGTTTTGACCCAGAGCGAGTGTGGAGTGTGGCCTAACCTTTGAGGCTGCAACATGTCACCTGAGACTGGCTGGAGGAGCCGGAGTTAGGGTGGGAGAGAGACAAAGTGAAGGGGGAGGAGCGCTGGCTGGGAGGCCGGGGTGGTGGGCTTCGGGAGGAAATGAAGGGTCTTCATGGGTTGGCGCCGTGCCTTTATGTGAGACAGACAGACAAACAGGCGTGACCAGGACAGATGGGAAGGACCTTAGGAATTGCCAAGTGAAGGGAGAGGTGGATCGGACCTGGCAGTGAGGTTTCTCTGGTCACCACTGGTCACCTTCATAGGTGGTTACTCACAGCTTTGCCTGGCACACCAATCCCGGGCCCAGAGCCCTGTGGAGGAGCCCGGTCAGGACCTCCTGGACAGCTGTTGAGGCCAGTGAGGACCTCAGTTTGGCAGGGCGTCTTTGACCTGGGATTTGGGTAACCTCTTGTCATATGCTAGGTGCATGGGTGGTGAGGGCTACACAAGCTTCTTGGGTTTCCAAGATGGGATGGGAAGTTTCTGGGAGCTCATTCTGGGGACAAGTGGCATTGGGAAAGAGCTGAGTGGGTAGCAGAGGGAAGCCCGTGTGGTAGGCGCCACAGTCCCCGCGTGTACCTGGGGAGCCACCTGATGTGGTAAAGCCACTAGGGAGGGTCCCTCTCCAGGGAACCTGACTCCAACATCGGGCCCTCACCTCCACTAGCAGGAAGGAGAGTTGTGGGGACGGAGCCCCAGAGCTGGCATGTGTGTACAGCACGGCCCTAACTGCTGTGAAGAGTCGGGGTGTTGAGGTGTGTGACTGGCATTCTCTTTGGGGAGTATCATTGTGTGCCTATGGAGTTCCCACATCCCGTGTGTTTGAGGCAGTCGCAGCCCCTCCTGTGGCCTGGGGGCCTGAGGGAGGCAGGAATGTCCTACTGCTGTGGTCTGTCTGTTTCTGGGTCTGTGTGAAGGCTTGCTCCAGATTCTCAGAGGGTACTTGTCAGAGAAAAAGACGGAGACCCCCAGCGAGATGGATTAGCAAAAGTGGCAGCATCAATGGGCTGAAGCGTGACAACAATTGTAAGGTTGGCCCATGACCGGGCAGTGTTTGGTTCTGTTGTACATAGGGTCGCTATGACTCGATGGCACCTAACAACAATAACAACTGTGTAGGGCTTGGAGCAGGGGAGAGAAGAGCCCGGGACCTTTGGCCTTTCTTGGTTTGTCTGGAGTCTGGGTGGCTTTTCCTGCCGGGGCATCACCATCCTCCACTTCCCGCCCTTCCCAGCATCTCTGTGCATTTGCAGCAGACTAGCCACCAACAGCACATGGCTGGGGTTTCCAATAGTCTCGTGTAAGGCGTTGTCTTTGAACTGGATCCTATTAAATGCATCATGGTGGTGTACATGGAGGCTCCCAAAAGTGCGTGGGAAAGCTTCATTACCTTTTCGTTTTTCCACACGTTTAGAAGATCTCCCGTTTATACACATACGTAGAATTTTCTTTTGTGCATTTGTCTTAGTTTTTCTTCTTTTCTCTCCTTGCCTTCTCTTGGGTTATTTAAATTAGAGTTTGGTTTTGTGTGCATTTGAATGTTTTTGTTCACCACTGGTTTGGAAAATATATACTGTAGTTCTTGTCACTTAGCAGGTGCCCTAGATATTTCACCCAGAGACTTTGCGGGGGATGTAAAGTGAATCGTCATGTTAACCTTTCCCATTTTGCACCTTAGCACCTGACTTCCCTCACCTCTTCCCAGCTCAGGTGCCCTTTAAATTGGGTCTTGTCATTTCTGCTTTTGACATGATGATTATTCTTTATGATGGGAATTACTTGTCCACTTGCTGCGGACTTTGCTGTTGTTCCAGGTTTTCCTCCACTGGAATTCCCTGTAGTGGTAAAGTTTCAGTGTGTGTTTGTAAACACCTTGTCTCAATCCTGAAGGCACTTTTGTTACCTGTGCCATTTTAGAAGGATGGTCGTTTTCCCCACTGCAGACACATCGTCCCGCCATCTTTCTCTTGGCGCCTTGGGCCAGGGGCTCAGCCTCTGTGCCTCGTGTTCTCCTTTGTAAAATGGGGGGGGGGGTACCTTTCTCCCGGGGTTCTTGCACGTACTGGAAATACCATGAACACCTGAGCTGCCAACCCCTAGGAATTTTCTCTCTCTCAAAACAAAGCTTTGCTAGTTCTAATGTAATTTACCATTTTTGAAAACCTCCTTTCTTTTCCTCAACCCCAGCTGACAATGGAAGCTGTGGGAGGGTCCGGCGAGCCTGGCCCTGGGGCGAGGTGGCCCCTGGAAAGGCCGGTGGTTTGGGGATGAGCTGAGGGTGGAGGCATGCAGCCTGTTAGACCAGAAACTCCACACCCTGGTTATGGGTGGCCCCGCCCTGTGTGTCTGGGACAGGGGGCAAGGACTCTGGAATCCAGCTTCTCTCCTGAGCCACCATCCTCTCTCTGCTAGAGCCTAGATTACCAGCCCACACCTGCCCCCTGGTGTTTTCCGTTTTATCTGGGGACAGCTCCGTAGCCCTACCTTGTCACACTCCACCCTTGCACAGTACTGCGGCACTCGCTCACCTGCCCCGCCATCCCGGACCCTAGCTCTCTGTTCCTAAGAGCCAAAGCCCCTGTCCTCCTGGTGGCTCTCAAGGTCCCACTCTGGCCCACTCCTCACCTCTCTGGCTTGTCTTTGGCTTCTTGGTGAGACCCACCTTGTCTCCACTGGCAGCTGTGCCCGCCCACCCCCAGCTCTGCCTCACTCTTATGCCTCCCAGCACATTGTAATGAACCTGCACACCATCAGAGCAGGGGGGCCCGGCCTTTGCTGTGCACCATTTTACTACGAAGCATTTCATAGTGAAATGCTTTTTTAAAATGCATTTGCAGCGCCTGCTCTGTCTGTGTCCGGAGGAGTGGGATGGGTTGGGTTTGGACGAGGGCAGGGGTGGTCATGTTTCTGGTCACTGCGGGGCCAAGTGTTGTGGGGGTCACACTTCCTCCGTCCTGCGTCCTGCCGGGAACCAGGGCAACGGGCAGCATCTTGGGGCAGCCACACATCTTGGAGCCGGGAGCACAGTGAGCTTCCAGAAAGGGAACCAGGGGCTAAGGGGGGTCCTCTAGGGAGACCCCCAGATTACAGAGAGAAGCAGCCCTCTGGAGCCAACTGCTCAGCGAGTGTCGCTAGAGGGGCCGGTGCAGGGGGCGTGGGCTGAGGTCTACTGTGAAGGAAGGAGCTAGACCTGAGGACCCCCGACCCCCCACCCCCAGAGAGAGGGCCAGGGAGACACGGAAGCAGGTTAGGGAGGGCCAGGCCCTGGCGAGGTGGGGAGGACATGCTGGGCCTTCTTTCTGCTTCCGTCTGGGGATTGGGGTTTTTCTTGACATGTTCTTTCTCTTGCTGAGTCGACCTGCAGTCAGTGACCTGGAAGGTGGTCTAGCTCCCAGCCGTCCTCCCTTCCCCATACCCACAGTGTCCTGGCCGGGCCCCGTCTCACCCAGGGTTCCTGTTCCCACTGCTCCTATGGAGCCCAGGTGTAGGACAGGCTCTCCACTCGTGCCAGGCTTTAGAGGACTTCAGGAGCTGTTTTTGGTTTGGGGTTTTAATTGGCTCTTCTGTTTTGCTTTTTCCCAATCCAAGAAGCAAGGTCCTCACTGCTGGGCTTTGGGGAGGGGGAGGGCACACGTGTGGGAGGAGAGTGGTGGAACTGCTGGACCCTGGGAGCCACATGGAGCTCATGGTCATTGGAGGTGGGGTCAGTCATTCACAGGGCCAGTCCCTCATGCCCAAGGGCCAGCGGGTGCAGGTGGAGAGGCCAATTTTCTTCCCAGGTTGCGCTGGTTCAGTTGTTCACCTGCTACCCAAAAGGTCAGCAGTTGGAGCCCACCAGGCCTCCCTGGAGGGAAGGTGTGGCCATGTGCTTGGGAATGCTGTTGGGCAGCTCTCCGAGGGTCACTGTTTATCACAACTGCCTCCCGGCAATGGGCTTACTTTGCTTTCTGATTGGATCATGAAACGGGCAGACTTAAAGTGAGTGGATGGAATTGGTGGGCTGGCCACTGTGTACAGCCGCAGAGACGCATTTCTGGAGCCAGAGGGAACTTCACAAATCCTGCCAGACGTGGCGCTCTCCCGGAGAGGGCCCCATTCAGGCTGCCACAAACAGGATAAGGGCTAAAGTTCTGGCTCTTTCTTTTAGGTTACATTGAATTTTGTCTAAAATGCTTTCACTTTGGGGATCATTTTAGATCTAGGGAAACATTGCAAAGCTGGTGCTGACCACTGCCACTTGGCCCTGCCTGTGGGCCCAATGCTGACACCTTACATAGCCCCCCACCCTCCTGGAAAAATCCCCAAGCAAGCCCACTTTCACAGAGTCGATTCTGACTCATAGGAAGTTTGTGTAGGTTTTCCGAGGCTGCAGATCTCTATGGGAGCAGACACCCTCAGAGTGGCTGGTGGGTTTGAAGTGACTACCTTGGGGCTTTCAGGTCGGTAATTGAAACCCACCAGTCGCTCTGTGGGAGAAAGATGAGGGTGTTTGCTCCCATAGAGGTCTGCAGCCTCAGAAGTAAAAAGGACATGAAACATTTAGTGATGAAGATCAAAGAGCACAGCCTTCGGTATGGGTTACATCTCAAAGTCAGGAAAACTAAAATCCTCACCAATAAACAACGTTCTTATCAACATATAAAAGATTGAAGTTGTCAAGGACTTCATTCTTATTGGATCAACTATCAATGCTCATAGAAGCAGCAGTCAAGAGATCAGACGACGTATTGAATCAGGCAAATCTGCTGCACAGGAACTTTTTAAAGTGCTGAAGAGCAAAGATGTCAGCTTGAGGACTAAGGTGCCCCTGACCCAGGCCATGGTATTTTCAATAACCTCATATGGATGCGAAAGCTGGACAGTGAATAAGGAAGACTGTAGAAGAATTGATGCCTTTGAGTTATGGTGTTGGAGGAGAATACTGAAAGTGCTATGGGCTGCCCATAGAACAAACAGATCTGTGTTGGAAGAAGTGCAGCCAGAGTCCTCCTTGGAGGCCAAGATGGCCAAACTTCGTCTCTAATGATTTGGACATATTGTCAGGAGAGACCAGTCGCTGGAGAAGGATGTCATGTTTGGTAACTAAGGTGGAGTGTCAGAGAAAAAGAGGAAGACCCCCAACCAATGGATTGGCCAAGTGGCAGCATCGATGGACTCAAGCTTGGCAATGATAGTGAAGTTGGCCCAGGATCAGACAGGGTTTCGTTCTGCTGTGCATAAGGTCGCTGTGAGTCGGTACCAACTTGATGGCACCCGACGACAACAACAACAACAACAACCTTGTAGCTAGCATCCCAGCACCTGACCCACAGCACCACCAGGGCTCCTTATAGCCTGTCTGGACATGTTCCCATCGACTCGGCCTTCATCTGGGGTTCACAGTCACCCCTAGTCAGCAGGGCTCCTGGCCTGTGGCAGCTGCTTGGCCCGCCCTGTTTGTTGAGCTGTGGGCATTGTGGGTGTTTACCACAGTGTTCCCCAGTTGGCATTTTGGGAGGAAGCCCATGGTGGTGAAGCCTCCTTCTGGTCCCATCATTTCAGCTCCCTTACACTACGCGGCATGTGACCCCCTGCCATGCTCTTCCAGATTCGATCTGCTCCCACCAATGATGTTAACTGTGCTTTGCTCACCATTTCCTGTGCCCTCCCTTGTGGGTAAATAGTGTCGGGCATCTGAGGCACTCCTGTTCTCTTTAATGGAAACACACCAGTTTCAGGGACTGAGGCCCCTGGCCATTGCACCTGGCCCAGGGATTCCTGACGGAAAGTAAGGCGGGCACACTAACGGGACCTGGAGGCCACGTTGATGACAGGCAGACAGGAAGGGACAGGAAAGTGGACCCACTTTGATTGCGTGGTTGCCTCGATTGGCTCCCCCACACCTGTGGTGGGCAGCAGTGTGTGCCTTCTGTGTCGTCCTGATAGCAGTGCCTGGTGGACAGCTACTTCTCAGGGTACCTGAACTGGCTGTGCACACAATCTCCTCAGACCCCGTCACACGCTCTGTTTCCACCAGATGACCCGTTCCCAGTGGCTGAGCAACAGAACCAGCAGCTGAGCCTGGACTGGTGTGGGTGGGAGGTCGTGCCACGGAGTGGTGTGTGGGAGGCACTGGGCCTGCTCCCAGAAGGAGCGTCCAGCAGGGAACCGATTCTGAAGGTGGGCAGGTGGGGGAGCAGGTTCCCCCGCTGAGCTTCTGGGCACCTCCCGAGCCTGTGACCTGTCTCTGCTGACACCTGGTGTTCCGGCTTTCCTGGGGAACATCCATGTTTAGCCAAATTCTCACATGTATATGTGGTGGTGGTTATGTGCCGTGGCGTCGGTTCCGACTCGTGGTGGTGGTGGTGGTTGTGTGCTGTGGTGTCGGTTCTGACTCATAATGACCCTGTACTGGGTTTCCAAGGCTGTAAGTCTGTACGGGAGCAGAAAACCTCATCTTTCTCCCTTGGAACTGCTTACTGTGAGGTTAGCAGCCCGATTTGTAACCACTACGTACCAGAGCTCCTTCAAATATGTATATGTGTATTATAGATATTTAATTTTGATTCATTTTAAAGCTTTTATATGTTTTGGAAACTATAAATAGCATAACATTTGCCATTCCGACCACTGTTCTGTTAGATTCAGTGACACTGACCTGCCCTCGTGTGTTACAGCCATCGCAGTTGACTTGTGAGTATACTTTTCACCACCCTTCGCAGGAACATAGGCAGCAACCACACACACCCGCCCCTGGCCTCTATGTGCACATAGGTCTTGAAGCAGGTGTCTGGTCCAGATGTTACCCGTGGCTGCTGTGTCTGCCTGAGTTCCCTCAGCGTGCCGTGAGCGGGTGCTTCGGGCCCTCATCTCAGTGTTTGAGTGACTGCCATTGTCCCCATCTGCTGCTGGGCAGTCAGAGGGTCTCCGCCTCTTGGCTCTGGCGGCTAATACTGCAGTGGATGGTGCTGGACGTGCATCTGAATTCCCACTGTCAGGTCTTTTGGACTGGCCCAGGCGTGGCCTTGCTGGCTCTGACTCCTCATTGAGTTGTTCTCCAGGTCCTTCCTGGGGGCCCTGGGGGCCCTGTAGAGCGGCCCTGGGAGCTGTGTGTGTGCCTCTCTCCTGGCAACCCCAGGTCTCGCGGGCACCTGGGCCTTATGCAGATGTTGTGTTGCCGCTGGCTGGAGGCCCTCTGCTGCAGGCCCAGATGGTATCAGATGATCTGCTCCCCGGGTTTCTCATGCAGCGGGTCAGAGGCCTCATAGACTCAGACCAGCAGACCAGTGGGCTCTGCCTGGCATCTTGGGCTGGGCTGGAGGATTCCCCCAGCTGTTTCTATCCAGCTCTCAGTGGGCATATGTTCTCCAGGGAGAATGGGGAGACAGGAAACGGGCTTTGACAAGGTGGGTCGTGGAGTCCTCAGAAACGGGGCACACTGGGTCTGCTGACAGGGTTTAAACAGTCTGCACAGGACCATGTGGGGGTGGTCTGCATGGCAGAGGCCGGCCAGCATACGGGGGGGACTCACAGCTCCCGGGTGTCAGATTGGGGATGCCCCTGCCCCCCCGAACACCCTGTCGTTCCCACCCAGTGCCATTCCTCCAGCTGCAGGGACCCCTTTCTGTTCTGTGGTTCTTCTCAGTCCGGTGGATGGTATCTCAGACCCACGACCTGGTACCTGCATCGGGGTGTGCCCCTGGCTGGCGCGTGTGTGGTTTCACCACCAGACTGGCCTCGCCTGTGCTCTCTGGGCTGGGCCCGGCCAACCAGACCTCAGGGCTGTGGGCTGGGTCTGCTGCCCTGCTCTGGGTGCTCTTGGAGGGCCCCCCAGATGTGCCCCTGCATAGCTGCCTTCACTCAGCTCTGTGAGGAGCCTGGGAGCTTTTCTGGACCTTCCGGCCCTGTGAGGCCTCAGCTCACAGTCCACTCTGACTCCAGGCATGTCGGGCTGACCTGGCCCCCAGCCCTCTGAGACTCCTTCCTTCTTGTTTTCTAGGCCAACAGCCGGGTGATGTGGGGTCAGCTGAAAAGCAGAATGGAGTCTTTGTCTAGGGTCTGTTTGTTACTTTTCTTCAAGGACAGAGTTGAACTTGAACTGTTTCCGGTGGACACGTTCCAAGGACAGTAGTGTGGGCTTTGAGCAGCTAGACCCCAGACCACTTACCACTGACTCAGAAGGGGCTCCCGGGCTCTCCACTGCTTGAAGCCCTTTGTGGGGGGCAGTGCTGAGCTCAGTGTGGGCACTTGGAGCCCTAGTAACCCTGGAGGTCAGCTTGGACACCGTGGGCCATTACTGACCTCATGTATTTCAGGGACTTGGTCCCAGGTGTGAGCTGAGGCATGGGGTCTCCAGACCCGCACTGTGGCTGGTGGCCTCATGCCCACTCTTCACATCTCTGTGGCAGGTGTACATCGGCGAGCTCCCCACGGACTTTCTCCGTGTCACGCCCACGCCCACGCAGCAGCAGATCCAGCTGGATGCCCAGGCCGCTCAGCAGCTGCAATATGGCGGGGCCCTGGGCACCGTGGGCCGCCTCAGCATCACCGTGGTGCAGGTGGGCTGCCTGGGGGCAGGGGGCAGAGGAGAGAGCACCCCTGAATTCAGGGTGCAATTGTGACCTCCCGTTTTACACTAGTGTTTTCATATGGACCGAGGACACACTTAGTTCTCATACTTGTTTTTTGAAAGACTCCTGGTGTGGCACTGTGGGATAAGCACTGGACTGCTAACCACAAGGTCAGTGGTTTAAACCTACCAGCTGATCCTCAGAAATCCTTTACACCGTCCCTGTGAGTTGGAACCGACTTGATGGCACTTACTAACAACATATCCAATGTTATGGTGCTGTAGGATAAGCACTGAACTAGCCCCAAGGTTGGTGGTTCAGACCTACCAGATACTCCTTGAAACCTTTATAATACAGGGTGGCTATGAATGTAAAAACCTTGACCATGACCCATGCATGGGTCTGCCGGACATGAAGTTCCCTGTTAAGCACTCCAGGCTTACACTGGCCCACGCCCCTGTCCCCACAGTTGCTGACAGTTGCTCACGGGGTGCAGAGGAAGATGACCGTCCCCAAGCCACACCCCAAGACTATGACCACGTGGTGCAGTGAGCTTAGACTTGTTAGGTGCTATACCTGGCGATCCTCGAGTGACACAACAGAACTGCTTGTGTCGTTAAACAGACGATTAGATGAAAACCCAGACAGGCTGCTGTCTGTAAGATCCGAGAGGGAGGGCAAAGCAGTGTGGCCCCCAGGCCCAATGAATGCAGGGTGAAGACCTTCGTGGCGTGCTCAGCCCTCCGCAGCCGGCTCTGTCCTCCTGTTTCTGGAGCGCCTGCGCTCTGCTGTCAGATGCCACCTCGTGGTGGAATGGAGACACTGCAGGGTGCCCAAGGTCTCGGCGTCTCCGGAGCAGAGTCCCATTTAGGTGACCCAGGCTCCCGGACAGACAGCTCGCCCACCTGTGCCCTCAACATTCTCTCTGTAGGGATGCCTCAGGCTCCCTGCCCGAGACACAGCCCCACCTCGGCCCAGTAGGCATTGCAGATGTGGCATGTCCAAAACGGGGCTCCCCCGTCTCCTTGTAGAAACCCTGGCCTCAGACCCTGATCTTGCTTGCTTCTTACCCTGCCCCTCAGCCTGGTCCTTCACTCAGGTGAGCCACCAGGAGACCACTCCAGAAGAACAGGTGTGGGGCCCTGCGAGGTGCTGCAGAGCCAGAGGGGGTGGGCTCAGTGGACACTGTCCCGTGGATGCTGTCCCGTGAGGCACACCTGAAAGTGCAGTGTCTTCAGTAGCCCTCCTTCCTAGAGTCTCAGCCTGCTTTCTGACGCTTTCTTACAGGCCAAGTTGGCGAAGAATTACGGAATGACCCGCATGGACCCCTACTGCCGGATCCGCCTGGGCTATGCTGTGTACGAGACCCCCACGGCACACAACGGTGCCAAGAACCCGCGCTGGAATAAGGTCATCCAGTGCACGGTGCCGCCGGGTGTGGACTCGTTCTACCTGGAGATTTTTGATGAGGTGAGGGGTGCACTCCCCCCAGCTCCGCTGGCCCTGGGAACCCACGTGGTGGAGGCGCTGCCAGCCTCTTGGGGACTGGACTTGCTGGGGTCTAGGGCTATGGCTCCCTAGCTGTCTTGAACAAGGCATGTCCTTTCAGGTTCTTAAGCAGAATTGTAGTTGGCTGGAGGTGGGCATGGACAGGTGTGGGGCTGTGCGTGGCCCTGGGTCCTGGAGGTGGGCATGGGCAGGTGGGGGGCTGTGTGGGGCCAGAATCCTGGGGGATGGGTGCAGACACAGGGAGCCATGGGGGACTGGAATCCCGGGGAACAGATTCAGTCATGTGGGGGGCTTTGGGGGACCTGGACTGGAGCTGTGTGCAGTGGGCACAGGAGAGCCCTCCCCCTTGCAGATGGAGTGTAGGGGGAGGGCTCCCTGAGGACCCTCAGTGATGTGCTGGCCTTCCCCCAGCGGGCTTTCTCCATGGACGACCGCATCGCCTGGACCCACGTCACCATCCCTGAGTCTCTGAGGCAGGGCCGTGTGGAGGACGAATGGTACAGCCTCAGCGGGCGGCAGGGAGACGACAAGGAAGGCATGATCAACCTGGTCCTCTCCTACACGGTGAGGGGCACAGGGACCCCAGGACATAGGCCTCACGGTGTCTGTCATCTCTGGGAGCCCAGAGCCGCCTCAGCGGGGGAACCACAGGGTGGGGACGGAAGCGGGGGCTCATCTCCTGAGGCCTGGGAGACAAGGCAGGGCTGTGATTGGGACCGTTTGTTTCAGTCCCTGCCGGCTGCCATGATGACAGCGCCCCAGCCCGTGGTACTGCTGCCCACCGTGTACCAGCAAGGTGTCGGCTATGTGCCTGTCACAGGTGGGTGATCGCCGGCGCCGCGGGCTGCCAGTGGTGGGGCCGCTTGGCTCTTCCCCCAGACCTTTCCCATAGCTAGAGCATCTGCTGTGAGCTGTGCGTACCCCATGTGTATGGACGCTCGAGCGCATTTCCCAAGTGTGAGCACAGGTGAGGTGAGGTCTCTGTGCACGTGGTAAAGCGAATGGGGGCTTCCACGAGCTACTTTGCGCCGAGGCTCTTTGCCTCATTGGGCTGTCACTTGTGTGCCTGTTGGGGTCTTAATGCTCACCCCACCCATAAACCTGGCTGTGGAGTTGGGGGAGCAGACGGGAGGCCTACCCAGGTGCCCAGGGGTCCAGAGAGCCCAGCATTTCCCGCTCCCCAAGCCTGGTGCTGGCTGAGCTGTCACGCAGCCCGGCGTCTCAGCCCTGTGAGGTGAGCCACAGCCGCCTGTAGGGTCTCCTGAACTTAAAAGGTGGGGGGGGAGGGGGTCACTGTAAGATGGTTCCCCGTCCAGCGCTGGGCAGAGCTGCTGTTTTAATCCTGAGTCGTTCTCTGAGGAGATTGAAGGGCACCCACGTCTGTCTGGCTCAGAGCTGGTCACCGCAGAGACGCAGTGGGGGCGTTAGCGCTGTCAGAGGCACCTGCAGCCCGGAGCCTCCCGGCTCACTGGCTGGACTTCTCGTCAGCAGTTTCTGGGGTTTGGGGAACCGTCTACGCCACTGTGTTGTTTCTTTTCTGACGTATCCGTGGTGTGTGTCACACTGCGCTGAGTTACTATGGAATGCGTCAAGGACAAGGTGTTGGGGGATGGCTGGAGCATCAGCTGAGGAGAGCAGTTTCGGGGTCTGTGCTGTCAGTGCCTTGTACCAGGGGGCTTCTGGGAAAACCCTGTTAACCTCCTAACTCCATGTGGACCCTCACTGTCCATGACATAAACCCAAGAGTCCTTGAGACCAGAAAGTCGTACCCTCTGGGGACTCGGAGCTCAGGGAAGGGGCCTGCCTTTCCCACATTGGTGTGCACCTCTCAGGGCGCCCGCTGGGGGCCGCGTCTTCTCCCCCACCCTGAGCAGTCTCTCTTGTCCCTGCAGGAATGCCCGCGGTCTGTGGCCCTGGCATGGTGCCCATGGCCATGACCCCAGCGGCCATGCCTGTCCAGCCCCACTGTAGCGAGGAGGACCTGAAGGCCATCCAGGACATGTTCCCCAACATGGACAAGGAGGTGATCCGCTCGGTGTTGGAGGCTCAGCGGGGCAGCAGAGATGCCGCCATCAACTCCCTGCTGCAGATGGGCGAGGACTCCTAGGCCCACAGCCGCCCACCGCCCTGCTCTGGACTTGCCGGCCCGGGGCCCCCATAGATCCGATGACCAGCACCCTACCCACCCTTCTGGCCTCCTTCTGCCCACCACCCCGCTCAGTCGGATGCATGTGGGCTCTAGGCTCCTCCTTTATCCAGGAGGATGGGGTTCGGTGGGCTTTTCTCCCTTTTCCTTTGTTGGGTGGTGTGGCTAGACACACGGACAAGTGTTTCTGCTCCCTCCTGGCACCGCCCTGTGGTGACTCCTGTCCCCGAGGGCATTAGGATGACACGTGCATAATCTTCTGACTTGGTGAGCTGCTCAGCGGAGCACACAGCGATCTCCAGCAGTAGACGGGGCCCTCCGTCCCTCATCACCCTTGTCTGTGGGTCTGGGCTCCGCCTCAGAGCGAGCGGTCTTGCTTCCTGGGTGCCATCCTCTTGTTTTCCGGCTGCACCCTGCACAGAGCCATCACCGTCTGTCATAGGCCCCCGAGTGCTCATGCTGTGCCTCCTGTGACCCCGAGACCTACCTAAGGATTCCCGTACGTCAGAGCCTGATGCTGGGCCCGAGGGTGGTTGGAGTTTGCATTTGGTAAAGGGTCCAGGCCTTGGTGCCCACTGCCGATGTTCCAATCTGGGAGAGTGGCAGATGGCAATGTGCAGGACCTTGTTGGGGCCACAGCAGTTGGTGTAGGAGCGTGAGCAGTTCCTCGGATGGGCGCAGGGTGTCTGTGTTTGCAGCTTCTCCCAGGGTCTCCCTGCAGCCTGGGTTCTGTGAGTGACAAGGAGCCGTGCCTAAGTGCCCATCTTTTCTGGCTCACAGTCTAGGGTACGTTCTTTTGCCCCCTTTTGGGTGGTGGTTGTGGGCTGCGGACAGCTTGCTTGTTGGCATTTGTGTCTATGAGGCTGGAGAAGTGTGTGGTGGCTGTGGGCAGAGTGCTGGCATCTCAGAGGCCTCACGTCCAGCAGAGACTGTGACAGTGATGGACATGTGCACTGAGCATGCACACCGTGGCTCGGGGCTGGGAGTTCGGTGTCTTGTTCCTCGCAGGCACTCTCCATTCCAGACTGGTGTTGAGTGGTGCCCCTGCGCAGCAGACTACTTCAAGAATGAGGGAACATGGTGAGCGGGAGGGGCACTGTGTGGGTAGTGTCGGGGTGTCTGCCTCAGGGTGCCCCCAACAGCCCAGCGTGCCCTGATTGCTTAGGACGTCTCCTGCGTTCTCTTTGACTTTCATCGGAGAGCAAACACAGCACTTTGTTGAGTTAGCTAGTCAGGTTGCTGCTTCCCCACGGAGCGGGTTCAAGTCTAGCTCAGGTGCATCCAGAGCACACTTGGTGCGTCACAGTGAGACCCCAGCCCCACCTCAGCACCTGCTCACCGTACTCCCAGCGATCCGAGCCCCCTCCTCAGTGCTTGTCACGCAGCTTTGCCCCACACCCGTGTTTCCACGTCTGGGGGTGGGGGTCAGACAGGCTGTGTGTCCTCTCCTCGCCTGGCCTGTGTTGCAGCTGCAAGCAGGCTGTGTCCTGAGTGGCCTGGCAGCTCTGGGGTGCCCTCTGCAGGTGTCGGGAAGTGCAGGGCGGTGGCAACAGTGATGCCCAGAAACAGAGAGCGCTGTTCCCACATCCCCACTGAGGCCCATTGTCCAGATGCGTCTTTCATTATAAAATAATATTTTCACTTTTCTGCCTTCTAATTTAATAAGTGATCTTCTGTTCAAAATAGAGAATTAAAGTCCTCCAAGGGGAAGTTTTCTGTTGTTGGTCTCGAGTTGTTTTGAACTTAGTACGTTATGCTCACACCAAGCCCACTGCCATGGGTCAGTTCCAGTTAACAGCAACCCCACAGCCTTCCCGAGGCTGTCATCTGCCCAGAAGCACAGAGCCACATCTTTCTCCCACAGAGCAGCTGGTGGGCTCGAACTGCCAAACTTTCTGTTAGCAGCCAAGCACTTGAGCCACTTTGCCCGCACGGCTCATTTCATGTTGGAAGGACACGAAGGTGCTACAGCGCCCTGTACCTGCTGATGTTAGAAGTTGCTGAGTTCCCTTGGGTCGGGAAGGCCTCCGTTGAAATGATGAGAGGAGGAGGTTACTGCCACTTGGCCAAAATACCTTGCTGGGGGTCTTCCTCTTTTTCTCTGACCCTCCACCTTACCAAACATGATATCCTTTTCCAGCGACTGGTCCCTCCTGACAATGTATCCAAAGTATAAGAGACGAAGCTTAGCCATCTTGGCCTCCAAGGAGCACTCTGGCTGCACTTCTTCCAAAACAGATCTATTGGTTCTTTTGGCAGTTCATGGCACTTTCAGTATTCTCCTCCAACACCACAACTCAAAGGAAGTTCTACGGACTTACTTATTCACTGTCCAGCTTTCATATGCATATGAGGTGATTGAAAATACCATGGCCTGGGTCAGGCGCACCTTAGTCCTCAAGCTGACATCTCTGCTCTTCAACACTTTAAAGAGGTCTTGGGCAGCAGATTTGATTATGTATTTTTAAGAAAAGGTAAAAACGCTAGTACTAGGAAGAGTTGTATGCCAACAAATTAGACAATGTAGAGGAAATGAACAAATCCTAGGAACAGACGAGTTGCCTCAAGTGAGTCCCGAAGAAGTCAGAAGTCTGAGTCCTGGAGCAGGTGGGAGACGTGGTCCCGTGTGCTGCTGCTGGGGTGCTGACCTAGTTCTCCAGTGCCTTCGCCCGGTGCTTCTCTGGGGTGCAGTTGGCAATGTCTGGGGACGTTCTTAGCTGTCAAAGATTGTAGGTGAGAGCATGGCGCTAGCAGCATCAGCTGAGTCGAAGCCAGGGATGCTTGTAGCCCCCCTGTGGTGCAGAGGATACCCCACCACAGAGAAGCCATGCCTGAGCATAAGATGGGGTAGCGTGGCTGGGAGATCTAGCCCACCGAAGCTCAGGGCCCACCCTCTCCGCGGACTTTGTGAGTTCAGTGGTAGTGGAACATGCAGAGGTCAGGAGTCGTGAGCGTCACTGGGCCTGGCAGAAGCCAAAGTGTTAGCGTTATCATCGTGAGCTGCTGGTGACTTTGAACCACCGACCTTGTGGTTCAAACTGACTTTGCTGTCTAGTGCTTTATCCCACAGCGCCACACCAGGACCTCAGCATTATCACTTCCTGTGGACACGACTTCAGAGCCTCAGGTTTTACTTTTTGTTTTTAAATTGGTCACCATTGGTTTATATGATCTGTTACTATTAATTAGAATCCGGGACGGTAGGTTTGCTTTGTATCTTTTTTTTTTTAAAGTTTTTATTGTGAGGTTTACATGGGAGAACATCAGTTTTACACTCATCGTATCATATTTCGTTTCAGTGCAATGATTACAATCCCCTCCATGCATCATCAAATAACCATAGGGTACACCCCACAGGCCCGCCCCCAGCCGTCAGCACACTGCCCCTCTCCCTCCCTGAGTCCAGTGTCCCCAGCCGCTCCATCTGTCCACGTCGTTGTCTCTGTCACCATCCCTGGAGTCACTGCCTCTATGGGTAGGGTCCTGTTCTCCATTCTCCCTTGATGGTCCCAGGGACCTCAGCTCCTGGGCTGCAAAATAAATCACTCTCCTCCTTTTGTCAAAAACATCTACCTCTACATTTCCTACCCTCACAGTCAGTCCTGATGGCAATTACTCACTTTTGTACCACAAGAGACTTATCCCCATCTCCTTTCGCCAGCCCAGTCCCAACTGATTGGAAATCCTTCAGTGGTGATTCTACCTTCCCCCGCCCTGTCTGGAACTAGGTTCCCTCTTAAAAGCTTGTAAGCCAGTCACTTCTTGCCTTTATAGCGCCCCACCCCCACCCTCATTTTGGGTAGCCAATGTCTATGTTGCCCATCTTTGTCAGCCCTATGTACCGAGGGGGTGGGAGTGATCCTCACTGTAAAGATTTGTTCCCTTTTTAGAGCTACTACATCCATAAGTATAGGTAAAGTTCATCAAATTGTAGCAGGTAACTCTTCTCCTTTTCCTCTTCTTTCTTCTTCTAGTTGAATTCTGATCATCCAGCCATTGAAGCCAGGTCAAGTGGGTACTATCTGCAAGTGTGGGTGTTCTTGTGCATCTCCCCTCACTTCATATCAACTGGACGCTTCACTCTCAGCTCTAGTCCTCTATGGCCATGTCACTGCCTCTAGGCTCAGAAGTTCCCGGGTCTTGCCATATTGCTGGCCATCAGGTCTCCACCCGGTTGAATGTGGTCGGGCTTACCTTGCTGTTTTTTCCCTCTCTTCCCTTATCGGTGACCAACGTGGTCACAAGCCAGACTGCATGCCTACTGATGTATTCCCCTGAGTCTCAGTCTTGGAAAGGAGTTTTCTCTGAGGGATCCCGACCACTTGCCTTGATGGCTTCTGGGTAAACAGCTTACTTGTTCTTGTAATGATCAATCAGACGGCCGGTATTGTTTCGGATTTTTCCTGCCAGTCTTTCTTTCACCAAGTATCTTCTGTTTTAGCTATTACAGGCTGCTCTACTTTTCCTTTCCAGTGGTTCTGGATGGTTCTTTCCTTTCCTCAGTCAGTTCTGGATGGGGTTCTGGATTCCACCTATGGTCTTGTGCAATGTAAAGGCTCCAAAGGAAGCCTCTTTCACTGGGCACCTTCTAGCCCCCTTTAAGGTATTCCAATCAGTTATAGGCTGAAGATGGACTTATAAGCTTTCTGTAGTGATGATTCTGGCTATTCCTTTGTTCCCCCCTCAAGTGTCTGTTCTACAATGGTAGGCAATGGAAACCAAGATTCAAAAGACAGCCAAGCATCTTAACATCATTCCTCTCTTTTACCCCTTCAAACAGTACCTCAATCCCTGTATCCCAGAGCCCTGTTGTTCCAAGGTTGTGCATACATCATCATTTACCTCTGTCCCATTTAGCCCATGTAAACCTGCCTAACTGTTCTCCCATCTGGTTTGTTCTTCCATTCCCCTCCCCCTTCTTGTGTGTTGCCCCCCCCCACCCTCCCCAGCGCACCCAAGGT